TGATGACGATAAAGAACAGTAAATTGAATCGAAAGCGACAGAGAAAAAAAAACCCCAAACTGTCTGAAGAAAGGAAGCGGCGCTGTGTTTGTGTGCTGCCACCGTCGGCGTCCCCTCCACTGTCACCGAGTGACATTGTGAAGGTTGGCAGCTTTGGCGCAGCGCTGCGAGAGGAGAATGGGACAGGAGGCGAAACAGATAAAGTTTAATGAGAGGGAAGAGGAAAAAAAAAAAACAGGCAGCCTCCTCAGGCAGCCGAGCACAGAGCGCTGAGTAATCACTCACACGACAAACACATTGTTTATATAAACAAAGCGCAGTTTTGGCGTCCAGGTGTGGCGCCCACCTGAGTAATGAGGGCTTTCAAATGCCAAGCGGGCGACGGCTTCACTCAGCGACCAAATGCTGTCGGATGTAATTCCATAAAGTCGGCGTTTAATAAACGGTGAGGAACAGCTTTACTCGTATTTTGCAAATTACAGAAATACGAGATCATACGAACAACCTGGAGATGTACAAAACAGTGAATTCACTGCATTCACACCTGCAGGCTGGTTCACTTGATGCACACTGAAGAAGTTCTGTCTTGTTTTGTGTCATCCTGATTTATCAGAAACGACCTCAGAGGTGCGAACACGAAGCCGTGACTGGTTTCTCACCGACTGGTCGATTGCGTCACCTCGCATCATTTTCAGAGATGGTTTTCTTTGAAAGGCATGAAGTAAATCCAAAGTCCTTCATCTTCATTCAAATCAAACTAAAATAAGTGATCTTACATAATAGCTCTGGTTTGTTTTAAATAAACAACAGAGGACATTTCAGTCTGTGAAGGTCTCGGTTCCCTTCAGCAAGCTTCAGGTGACGCGTTCCCTCTTCCATTATCTGGCATTTCTGCAGCAGACTCATTAACAGAGCAGTTAAGCATCACGATGAGGTTCTTCTTTCTACCTCACTGAGCTTTCTGTGTGGTGGCTTTGGAGTGAACTCACCAGAGCAACAAGCACTTTAAGGAGAGCAACCGCAGAACCACATCGCCTCCATTTATAGACCACTTGTCTTCACTACTAAACTCACTGAGATTACTTTGGAGCTCTTTCCAGCTATTTTTGGTTATGGTTCGCATTAGCGGAGTGTTTCTCCTGGTTTCCCCTCGAATCTCTTGTTTGGTTTCCTGTTTGTCGTCGTTACCTGTGGGTTTGGTTGTCCTCAAGCCGCCTTTTCACCTGTGCAGCTGAGATCCATTCACCACCAATCACACCTCTTCATTATTTAAACCCTGATTCTACACTTCAACCTATGTCAGATTTTCCAGTTGACCTGTGCAATGCTTCAGTCACGTCGGCTTGTTCCTGATGTTCTGGTGAAGCTTCTCAAACTCTCTCCTCCCTGCGCCTCAGAATCTCCTCTTGCTACCAGCCTCACCGTTCATCGCTCGGCTTCCTCGATGGGCTGCAAGACGGCCAGCCGAGTTCACAGCCGCCTCTCAGCTCGCTGTCAGTCAGCTTTTCTCCAGCCATGCCACTCACCTACAGCCAAACGCTCTCCAAGAGACGACCACCTTCCTCTCTACAAACCATCAGCTCTGACTGGTTAATAAACTCTCTGGTTGAACTGCTGCCGACTGAGTTCTGCATCTTGTCTCTCCGTCCTAAATTACCTCACACACACCACTGATTCAAAATGCTCTAACCTTTACTCTGGATCTTGTTTCACTGATTGGACTCCAGGTTTTGTACCTTCTGACTCTAATAAGCTTTTGCTGATGCCGATAGCCCTGGAGGCTCATACGTTTTAAAGTATGCATTTAATATGGACAAGCATGCAACGATAGACGCCTTATTAGTTTAAACAGATTGGATTTTTCCATACTTGTAACCTAAATTAGGCAAATTTATACACAAATGGCAATTCCACAGGATTCACTTTCTTTCTCTTGCCACCATTTATTTTCTTATCACATCAGCCATGTTTTTCTGCACCTCATCCAGTCTTTCCCTCTTCCACTGTCTCTTCCCATCACCGCTCTGCCTCTTCCTCGATTTCCCCAGAGTAGCGGTTTGAGTGTGGATGAATGTGCGCACACATGCACACATAGAAAAACTGTCAATAACGGCCAGGCAGAATAATTACCCTGACTGTGATTGAACATAGCTGTCTATGCCTCAACTCTCTCTCTCTCTCTCTCT